TTATTCACCTGGAGCTTCCTGGACCAGAAAACAGCATCAGTCTCTTGTTTTGTGTTTTCTGGCAGGTGGAGATTCTCTGGAGAGAAAACAACTGAGAGAAAACAGAAAATTACAGTTGGAATAACAAAGGTCAACAGTTTGAATTATGAGACAAGAGTTTGTGATAATTTATTAAAGAATGTGACTTTTACACTAAAAGGTGTGGAAAGAAGAATCCAGTCAAACTTTTGCTGTTCTGCCAACAAAGTTTATTTATTGAGTCATTTGCACCAAAGCAGCTTTCAAAATGGCCGCCCTTACATCCAGCAGTTCATCAATTAACCAGTGAAGCCCCGCCTCTCAATTTGCCCGGCCAATCAAAGTGCAGCCGGTTCTATTAAAGAGCTGTGTTTGAGGCGGGCCTCTTCTTTAGCAGAATCCCAAGATGGCTGCTGCAAAGGACTCACCCTGAAGGTAGCAAACATTTCACAGACAAAGACTCATTTACACGCTGGAATTCAACAAGTTTTAGAAAAACTGAGTCCTTCCTAACAGAGACATGAAGCAACACGACAATGACCTGATTTCTGGAGCCTCGGCTCAAAACTCTGAGCTAAATAGAGGCTAAAAGCAGCTCAAGGTTCTGAAGCTACGATTCATAAGAGGCAGGAGGAGAAACTCTGGAGAGTTTTTAGTTATTTAGTAATGAACTTTTCACAGTATTGCTGCATTTCATCTGCCATATATAATTATCAATAATGACTTGTTCATCTCTTTCCAGGTGAGCTGTGGTCTCCACTGGATGCAACAGCCAGAAGAGAAGCAGCACCAGTGCAGCAGAGGGCGCTGTTCAGGTGAGCGGTACCTCACCTGAAACCCACCAGAGGAGACAGGAAGTGATTTCATGTGTCCTCAACTCCTCAGGATGTCGATTGACTTCATACTTGCTGCAGCATCCAGTAAAAACAGAATCGGTTCAAACTTTGGCACTTTGCTGTTCAGGCCAACAGCTTTAGGTCTGTTGGACTTAAAGCTCAGAGTTTCCCTTTGAATAACTATATTTAAATCATGTTTCACTTATATAAGTCAAAGAAAGTTTAGTGTGTTAATATTTAAATATCAGCTATTAATGTTTTATATTTATAACTGATGGAGTTAAAAGTTCAGCTCTTTGTTTTCTGAACATTTCTGTCCAATATCCAAAAGTTTATTAACAATAATAAATCAACAAACTCATTAAGGTAACAATAAGCTATGACAGATTAAAGATTGATTAGATAAAGACTAAAACTGTAAAAACATAAGAGATTAGAGCCAATAAATGAAGCAATAGCTGTTTTTACATTAATTATTTAACAATTTTACATTACAAAAAAATAAATTTTCTTAATGGAAATGTAGCAACTAATAAAGTGTTGTAGAATGAGGTTTTTCTCATCTGATTCTAAATTAGTTTGTTTCATAACTGTTTTTTAAAATAATTTGAGTCACACGATAAACAACAGGAAGTTACTACTGGTGGAAACCAAGAAGAAGATGACGACAGAAGAAAAGAAGTTTTTCTGTATCTTCAGTGCTTGCATCATTTCTTCATGTTTTTGTAGAAATGGTCTCAAACAGGTGTTTTCTTGAAACACGCCGGCCTCAACGTGGATAACAGTGTAAAATAGTTTTTGTGTTTTGTGGTTGGATTATTATACAAACTTATTCACATAGGATTTTAACTGCATTTCTTATTTCATGGAAACGCCTCAATTGGAAAAATATGTCTATTCAACATTTACAAAATGTACTATTTTATTACATTTGTAATGGAAATGCAGATATTTATGTCTCAATTCAGTTTATTTAATATTACATTTGAAACTAACTAATTTAATGACTTTGCACACAGCAGCAACAGAAATATGTAAAAATAAATCATGAAATAATCATCTGTAGTAATATCACAGTTCAGTGTGAATATTTGAAGACCAAGAATTGTATGAAAGAGTTTTCTTATTAATTTTATTTAATATCTGTTTACACTAATTCACAAACTGGTTTTGCTCCAAATGACCAGTTAGCAGCATTACTTTAGCAACAATTCAGTCTACAAAACCCAGCTTTTATTTTGAAATACTTGCACTTTCAGAAGGGCTTTGGGGGTGAAGCGGGAGGCAGGACAGGTTCAGGGGGTTAAAGTTCACAATCATCTGATGGATTCATCCATTCATCCTCCGTCTGCTGGTTTTCAGCTTCATCCTGGACATTCTGACCACAATACTTAGAACAAGCTGCCAACAGAACATGAGACAATGGGAGAGTTGACCTTCAGACCAGCTGACATCTGGAAGCAAACCACAATGATTTAGCAGTTCTGCTAAATTCATTTGCTTGATGCCAGGAAATGTAGCAAGAATTTATATTTTTACATATATGTGTTTGTAACGTTCTTTTCATCCAGAAGTTTGCATACTTTTGTTCAGTATCCAGATTAATGACTTGGTTGAGCCTTCTGGGTTTCCTCCAATAAGTTGTTCAATAGTTTTTTTAGAGTTAAGGTCCATTTGGAAAACCAATCTGTCCACAGGTATTAGCGAGGAGTCAGATTTAATAATTAGGTTCCACCCAAAGCATCCAGTTTATAAGGAAATTATCCCTGATACTCACCAAATGTTTTAAACTTCTAAATGTAAAGAAAGTTACAAAAGTTTCTACAAAAAGTTTTTGCTACTTTTTGTGGCTTTAGCAAAGAGAAATGATTTTTGTTATTCTGATGAGGCTAAAACAAAGCAGCTTGGTCTGATAAATCCGGGAACGTTCGTCAGGTCTGAAGTGTAAATGTGTGGGTGACCTTTTCCACTTTGACACATTTGAAAACCATGCAGAGGAGCAGACAGGATGTGGAGAACAGCCTGGTTACAGATGTTTCCACTCTGACCCAGATCAACAGAAACCAGTCAGCTTTGGTCTCAAAGAAGCAGAGATCCAAAGAGTTTGTCTGATTTCAGCTCTGACCCTGCAGTGGACCAGTTGACCTCCAGAGGGCGTCGCCTCCAGATTCTCTCCTTCGTCGCCCATCGTATCAGCTTTGAACTTTTGTCCTGTAAATTCCCCAACCTGCCTCATCATAACCGGATGATTCATGGCTGATTGATCCACCAACCAGAAGCTTTTGTTTCCACTTCAGGAGTCACTTCCTGCTTCCTCCATCGCTCTCCATGACAACCACGAGGTCTCAGTGAAATGTAACCGACGCAGAATGAGATGCTGCTGGTGTGGGAACATGAGGACGGTACCTGGATGGCTGAAGGTTTCCACCTCATCGTCCTCCTTGTTCCCGCAGGAGACCAGCCTGCTGTCCTCAGCTGAGACGTTTTGAATCGCCAGCCGGTTCCCGTCCGTCAGATGTTTGGTCTGATGGTCGTAGTTGGAGACTTCTGGAGAGGAGACCGGTCCGATTCTCACTGCTCTGGTTCTGGTCCTCCACGAATCAGTAGACCTCAGTATGGTTAAGGGAGCAGGTTAAAGTCACATCCTGACCCGGTTCTACAGTATCATCCACCAGGTTCTGAGCCTCTGAATGGACCAGAACCAGCAGCAGAACCGTCCTCAGCAGATCCATCAGACCGCTGCTGCTCTGCTGTGATGCAGCAGAGAGACTGATCTCCACTTCCTGTGAGCGTCTCATCAGAGTCACCTGACCTGAAACCGTTTGGTTCCAACAGAGGAACCGTTTAGATGAGGAAGACTCTGATTGAAAGGAGGAAGATTCTGTGATCAAATCAAACCAAAACTGAACTTTTCCTTCACTGAGGAACCAGAGGGAGCTGGGATGGACCCAAAGCAAACCACTCCAGTGGTGGCCTAGTCAAAGCTCAAAACAAATCCGGTAGAGTCACATTTAAAGTTTTCTGTTTTGCTTCACCTGATCCACATTATGTTAAAACAATGTCTAAGCAGTTAATCCATAAATTAATCGACTTCCTGTTTGTTCAAACAGTTTCTCAACATTTAGTTTTTTTTAAATGTAGTTTGGAGACGCTGCAGCTTCTGTCCACTAGATGGAGACATGCAGCAGTCTGCCTCTGCCTCACAGGTTGGTTCTGATGTCCTGATTGTGAGGAAAATAAAACTGCTGAGCAAACAGAACCAGAACTTTGGTTCTGAAGCTGCTTCCGCTGAGATGTTTCCTGAACTTTGGATCTTATGGTGATATCTCGGGTCGGTGCGATTTGCTCATTTTAAAGCTGCAGTTCTGATCCAGATTCTGTTGGATCCAGTTCAGGTTCTGGTTCCAGAACCAGCACTGATCGCCTTCAGGAAAGGTCCAATCAGAAGAATCATTCGTTTGTGACAAGTGGTTATTTTCACCAACAAAATAACTCCGGTTTGATTGTGAAATTAGTTTATTTTTCAGAACTGCAATGGAAAACTTTTTATTTCAATCATATGAGTCACATGATCAACAACAGGAAGTTACTACTGGTGGAAACCATGAAGAAAGACGATAACAGGAAGTGATTGGAGGATGATGGCTTGCATGTTTCCTCATGATTGATGCGAAGAGACTTTTTCACATGTAGTTTTAACATTAGAATATAAACACTGCAATTAGGAAAATGTGGTTGAAACAATAGTGGAATAGAAAACAAATTTTTAGTTAATCAGAAGTGGAAATTCAGCAGTTTATCTCTCGACTCGGCATGAATGGTGATCTAGCAAGCAGCTTTATTTAAAATTAAATTAAACTAATGAATTTATGGGTTTGCATCCAGCAGAAGAAATAAGTTAAAATAAGACATGAAATATTCCGTGGTAACGGGTCTGTGGTTATATAACAGCTAAATTAACTTCACATTATTGAGAATTAGTTGAGATTAATTCAAATGAACCATTTCTAAATAAATCAAATTGTTAATTTTACTATGTATCTTTACAAAACTGCACTGTGAAATGTTTTCACAGTAGATTTGATTAACAAACATCTGGAGTAAATATGAGCAGAGAGAAGATCTCTTCCTGAAACGGACCAATCAGAGGAAACGGAACTTTGAAGAGGATGGGGTTCTTAAAGAGACAGGAGCCAGAACTGGTCCAGGGGGTCAAAGTTCACAATCATCTGATGGATTCATCCGTTCATTCTCCATCTGCTGGTCAGCAGCTTCATCTTCCTTCTTGCGACAGCAGTAACCACAGCAACCTGCAACAGAACATGATGAGTTTAGGGTCAGACCAGCTGAGGGATGAACCTGCACCTCACTGACCTAACAGAGCCGAAACGAGGCTGAGAATCAATGACAAGCGTTTCCAGTACGCCAGGTTCTCATTTACGTAGGCAGACATGATGGGGACGTCCAGCTGGACGGACGAGCCGTTGGACAGCAGGACATCTGGACAGAGACAAACTGACAGTCACTGCTGCTCATGTGGCTCTCAGTCTGGTGGAAAAGAAACGTTCTGGAGATTTAAGGTGAATCAGAAATCTGAGGCCAACACACAGAACAGTTATAATAATGATCAACTCATCTGGATTTCTCCCCTGAGCAGAACCAGACCTACAGAACCAGCCCTACAGAACCAGACCTACAGAACCAGCCCTACAGAACCAGACCTACAGAACCAGACCTACAGAACCAGATCTACAGAACCAGACCTACAGAACCAGACCTACAGAACCAGATCTACAGAACCAGACCTACAGAACCAACCTGACACCATCAACCTGATTGGGTCTCCATAAACCGGTCCACCGTCTTCCCTCTTCTCGCAGAAGTACATCCTGCCGTCGTCCACAGAGAGGTTTCGGACCGTCAGCCCGACCCCAGACAGAGAATATTTGGCCTCCAGGTCAGGAGAGAAGTAAGTAGGAACTGAAGAAGCGGTTCGTCCGATTCCTGTTCTGGTCTGGTTCTGGTCCTCCATGGACCAGTAGAGCTCAGCATGGTTAACGGAGCAGGTTAAAGTGACATCCTGACCCGGTTCTCCAGTAACATCCACCAGGTTCTGGGCCCGTGATCCGACCAGAACCAGCAGCAGAACCGTCCCCAGCAGATCCATCAGCAGCTTCTACCTGAACTGGAACCAGTGCGGCTTCTGGGAAATGTTACTGTGAATCTGTGACTTCCTGTTTGTGTGCAGAAACCACCAGCCCCCTCAGAGGAGGAAGGTCTGTGGTCCGACCCGGTTCTACTGAGAAAACAGCACCAAACCTACAATGGGAGGATGCAGCGAACCAACTGGATCCACTGGTTTAACTGGTCAATTCTCCAAACTGATTGTTGTTGAAGAAAATGCTGAACCAAGAAACGGTTTGTTGAAACGGTGCGAACATCTGCAGAAACCAGTTTCAGTGGTTTGAAGTGTAAATGTGAGTGAGCTGCAGATCAGTCAGAGGATTCAGAAACAGGAAAGTTTTCATCTCAGCTCAATAGGAACACAAAGTGAAGCGACTGCAGCAATGTGAAAAGCACCTAAAGGTCATGAGGTCAACCAGGAATCATCCTTAGGGGCTAATGGATGTTTAATGTTTATCACTCCTTTAGTGGGAACAAAATAAACATTATATGTTGTAAAAATCAATATCAGCATTCGTCCAATCTGCACCTCCAACTTAATCCATGTAATCCAGAAATGTTTCCAAACATTCCAATAGTAGAATCAGATTCACTGATTGTAAATGGAAACAATCAGGACAGGAAATCTGCAATAAAGTGGAAATAGAAGTAAACTTGATATTAATGTAGGTGAAAATATTCTTTGTATTTTTGAGCCAAAAAAGAAGATACCAATAATAATATGGATGATTAATGTCAATATTTGTAGCCAGTTTCCCTCTGACTGACACTAGTGGCTCTGCAGATGCTACAACTGAAAACAAAGTTTTGGTTTTCTCTCTTCCTGGTTACCAGACAAACTCCTTCCTCCTGAGACACGATCACGTCTCTGTCCTAATGAATCTAACGGGGTTATTTAGGTCACGGTGTAAAATCTTCTTTGCTCAATGATCTGCTTTAAAGCATGTGTCAAAGTTGAGGCCCGGGAGCCAAACCTGGCCCGCCACAGCGCTTTCTGTGGTCCTCTAGACTCCAAATTGATCAAAACATTCAGTTTAAGTCGCTGTTTCCTCAATTATCAGTGAATGTGTTAAATGATAATATATGTTGATTTTAAATCTTTTCAAATAGCCGCCACCAAACTGGTGATGTTCATAGTTAGAAGAACTAAAAGGTTTCAGGAGGAGCTGTGTATTGATATTTAATGTTGTCCATAATTTGCTCAGTGAGAACATTCAGATGATTTCTTAAAAGGAAACCTCGTTTGATGGGATTCATTGAAGAGACTTCAATGTGCAGGGAGATCATTTTGAATGTTTCTGATATTTTCTTTCAGCTCAGCCAGAACTTCCTGCTGTAACCGGGTCGACCTGGATCTGATCAGCGAGGAAAATGACTAGTTGAATGAAACTAGCAGTAGCAGCATATTTTACTTCATCGTCGAGAACAAGCCAGGTTAGTAGAACAGTTTATGAAGCAAAATCTAAAAGGTTTTCTTAATGAGAAAGTCAAGGTTTGTTTCCCCAACAGGAGATCAGGTTGACGAAGCAGTTTGGGCTCCATTGTCTCTCAAAAAGTCAGTGCAGCAATGTCATGATTATCACAGTCATTGATGCATTTTAATGTGTTCAATTTGCAGACAGATTCTCCTCTGGTTGTCCAACCAACACCAGCACTGCTTCCTGGACCATGATGGCTCCTGCATCATCACCTCTTCATACAAGGTAGATTTTAGTAAAAGGACTATTATAGTAATGGCACCTGAAGTAATTTTAACTTCAGAGATCTCCATCTCTAATAACATGCAAGTACGAAATATATAGATTATTATTCACATGATTAAGTTAATACAGCTGTTGTTTTTTAGTGAAAAGTTTAAAGTTTATCAGTTTTATGATGGTTGATTGAGTTCTTTTTGCCCTCTGGTGGTGAACTATCGTAACTACAGATATTATCTTTGTTTTGATTTAAAATTTTATAAAGTCAGATCAAGTCAGCTTACATTACTGTCCTTAAATTAGAGTCACTGCAGGATTTTATTCAGAATGACCAGAAAAAACGTCTTGTAAAGAGTTTAATACAGCAGCTATATTTTCGTTTTAAATCTGTCGTCATTTTATACAGAGGGCGGAAATACCCCGCTCTGAATAGAGGCGAGCTGTCATTATAATATTAATATTATGGTCTGTAACGAACTGATAGTTGATTTGACATATAGATGTGTTATTTACATATTGATAACTCATCTATATATCAAGTAAATTACATATTAATGTTTCCTGATTAAATAATTCACAGGTCTGTTCGCCAAGATGCTTTGTTTTCTGTTTTGTCAGGAGAATATTTTTGAATATTTATTTTTTCTGGAAAACAGAATAATTACGATAATTTGGCTTCAGAGCCCAATAATGTAATTTATACCATATCGGAAGAAAATGACATACTTATGCTTTCTGATACATTCATAAAAACTGATAAGCTAAAATGTACTTACGGGGGAATTTAGTTCCTTGTGTTTTACTTTGAAAGAATCCAAAGGAAGTGCTAATCACATATTAGTTCTCTAACTTTACTCCGTTTGTCGTTACATACTGTGTCCACTAGGGGGCAGAAGGCTAAGTTAGCAGTTAGCTGGTTTCCCGCTGCCGATCGGCTAATGAAGCCCTTGTTGGTCTCTTGGGTTTCTGTAGTTATTTCTCAAATCTTCTTCCTATTTAACATAAAATCAGTGTTTTATCTGTCAGTGTGAACTAGAAGCAGCTCCACAGAGATGAAAACATCCCGCAGAGACTCTGAGCGGAGCTAACGATGCTAACTGACTAGCAGCATCTTGTTTTACACAAAAACTGATTATCAGCAGCTGCAGATTTAAACTCTGATGCTGAACAGCAGCGAGTGTACTTCAGTTCACTGATCATCACTCACTAATGTATTATTAAACTTGTATAAAGGATTAAGGAAATTAATAATCGCTCATAGATTTATTATTAAAGTAGCGTAAATGATTTTAGTGTGTAGTTACAATGTGTGACCACAAGAGGGCGGTAGAAAGCGAGTCTCTTCCAGAAATAAAATTAAAAGTTAATCTGTTTGCTACAGTGCGCGGATATTTTTTATTTATTTATCAAAACATTTATTGGCTTTTCCATTTTATTAATTGTCCTTTCGATGATTTTATCCAGCTTGATGCTCTGATCTCAGCTGGTTGAAGCTTATCACATAAATATGTTTTTGTTAATATTTGTAGCTTTTTGACACTTTGATTCTGAAAATTAGCCACAGTTAATTTTTTTTACAGAATGAAATGAAATGTTTTTTCAGCTACATTTTTATCAAGAGTCATAGAAATGATTATTATCTGAGTAGTTGTTGTTCACTTTGTGTTTAAATGATTTTAACAATTTATCTCCGTCTCTAATAACATACAAGTATAAAATATATAGCTTATTATTCATAGGATTGAGTTAATAAATCTGTTGTCATTAGAAACTATTTAGTGAAAAGTTTAAAGTTTATCAGTTTTATGAGGGTTGATTGAGTTCTTACTGCCCTCTGCTGGTGAACTGTCATAACTACAGTCATTCTTCAAAGTCAGATCAAGTCAGCTTACATTACTGTTTTTAAATTAAAGTCACTTCAGTATTTTACACAATCTGATCAGAAAAAACGTCCTGAAGAGTTTAATACAGCAGCTTTATTTTCGTTTTAAATCTGTCTTCATTTAATATATAATTCCAAACACCGAATTTAAATATGTCAGAATAATATTTGGTTAGTAAAACTGTGGATAGGACTCAGGAAGACTGTTAGTTTTTCTCAAAAACTCCACATTAAGTGGATATTAAACATTGCTACAGCATTATCAGCACTGTAGTTCCACTATGGCCACCAGAGGGCGGAAATACCCCGCTCTGAATATAGAGGCGAGCTGTCATTATAAATATTAATATTATGGTCTGTCTAACGAACTGATAGTTGATTTGACATATAGATGTGTTATTTACATATTGATAACTCATCTATATATCAAGTAAATTACATATTAATGTTTCCTGATTAAATAATTCACAGGTTTGTTCGTCAAGATGCTTTGTTTTCTGTTTTTGTCAGGAGAATATTTTTGAAATATTTATTTTTTCTGGAAAACAGAATAATTACGATAATTTGGCTTCACCCAGTAATGTAATTTATACCATACCGGAAGAAAATGACATACTTATGCTTTCTGATACATTCATAAACTAATATGCTAAAATGTACTTACGGGGGAATTTAGTTCCTTGTGTTTACTTTGAAAGAATCCAAAGGAAGTGATAATCACATATTAGTTCTCTAACTTTACTCTGTTTGTCGTTACATACTGTGTCCACTAGGGGGGCAGAAGGCTAAGTTAGCAGTTAGCTGGTTTCCCGCTGCCGATCGGCTAATGAAGCCCTTGTTGCTCTCTTGGTGTTTCTGTTGTTATTTCTCAAATTCTTCCTATTTTAACATGAAATCATTGTTTTATCTGTCAGTGTGAACTAGAAGCATCTCCACAGAGATGAAAACATCCCGCAGAGACTCTGAGCGGAGCTAACGATGCTAACTGACTAGCAGCATCTTGTTTTACACAAAAACTGATCATCAGCAGCTGCAGATTTAAACTCTGATGCTGAACATCAGCGACTGTCCTTCAGTTCACTGATCATCACTCACTAATGTATTATTAAACTTGTATAAAGGATTAAGGAAATTAATAATCGCTCATAGATTTATTATTAAAGTAGCGTAAATGATTTTAGTGTTTAAATGATTTTAGTGTGTAGTTACAATGTGTGACCACAAGAGGGCGATAGAAAGCGAGTCTCTTCCAGAAAATAAAATTAAAAGTTTATCTGTTGCTACAGTGCGCGGATATTTTTTATTTATTTATCAAAACCTTTATTGGCTTTCCATTTTATTAATTGTCCTTTCGATGATTTTATCCAGCTTGATGCTCTGATCTCAGCTGGTTGAAGCTTATCACTAATAAATATGTTTTTGT